ACTTCCCTAAAAATGACCCGATCATGCTGATTTTCGAACTTGACCTGTGTATTATACAAATTCATCAGTTCTGTAAGTTTCAAACCAAAAGGTAAAACGGTTTTCCACTTATCGTGTTTACGGTGTTGCATATATGCTGAAAAAAGTGAAAAAACAGCATAACTTCCCTAAAAATGGCCCGATCATGCTGATTTTCGAACTTGACCTGAATATTATGAATATTCATCAGTTCTGTAAGTTTCAAGTCAAGATGTAAAACCGTTTTCCACTTATCGTGTTTACGGTTAAAGTGCACGCCAACGGCAACAGCAACGGCAACGGCGACGACAGACGCAGGTGACGGCTATATGTACAGACACATCTGTGTCTGTACATAAAAAAGCAGTTTGTGACCAAGCCACAGAGGGGGAGGAGACACATAGAGAGGCATAGGCATATAGATATAGACATATACAGTGAGAGAGAGAGATGGAGAGAGAGAGCAGAGACCTGCGTTAACACAGTCAGCCAATTATAACATGTAGCAGAAACTACACCTGCTTGTCTCAGTTGTCTTACTGGTGCAAAGTGAATCAAAGAACCCAAATATAACCACAGGCAGGTTATTACAATATGTGAAAAGAAAAATGAAATTGCTTAGAAAGCAAAGAACCTTGTAAAATTGGTTTTTAAAACGCAGATATATATTTAAAAATATGGAGTGCACAAATAAGAGTCATTTGATATGTGATATGCCCTGTTTGAATGAAAATACATCTGCATTATAATTTAAAGTTTTATATTTATAGGCTATATCCAACAAAATTAATAAGCAAGAAAAATAATTAACCATTAATTAATCAATCATCATTGATATCTAATCCTTTTTTTGCCCATTTATGTCTTATACTGAAAACTTCATCACAATCCATCCTTTTTGTGTAATGCTGTGCACAGACAAGGCAAAATATAATTAGAATCATCCCTTCCCCTCGGGACAGCACAACCCCAAGGGGCCCATGTACATCTATGACAATAGGTCACTCTGTCTCAAAGACTGAACTTCCTCATTATAATGGTCCAGGGGGGTAAACAGAAATTACAACATGAAAAGAATCAAAAGTCAACCACCCCCAGAGACAGACCAACCACAAGATGCACAGTAAATAATAAGTGCCCATGCACATCCCTGAATATAATTCTATTTAATGCCTAAATTTCCTTACAGTATAGGAGGAGATAGCAGAAATGACATTGTAAAAAGCATTAAGAAACAAAAAATTCAGAAACAACAACCCCAATGGACAGCTTCAACCTCCTGCTGCTCTAAAAATCAAATCAGTCCATTCTGGCCCTATCAGATCTGCCTACAAAAAATTTTAAAATGAAAAAAATATGTAAAATTGTGTTGGCTATCCCCAGACAAAAATTTACTACAGACAAATGCACTAATGTGCAGGGGCCGTATTCTCGAAAGGTTGCATGTAACTTACAAATTCAATAGACATATAATTTTTTTCACAGATAAGTGATAATCAGCCTTAAATCCTAGCAACATATAATTTACTGAAAATTCCTAATAGATTTTTTTGCAGAAAATTGCAATTTATAACAAAATAGTGGGGAAAAGTAAAAGGCCAAATCCAAGGTTGCAGTAAGATTGCAAAATTTAATGTAAGACTTCCCATCCAAGTTCAAAAGTATAAGAGCTTGGAAATTGAAGGATGGACAAAGAAGGTCAAAGGTCGAATTCAAGGTCACAGTAAGATAATCAATAAATGATTTCTTATTCAAGTTCAATAGTAACTATGGTTATATGGGGTATCTCTAAATTTGCTAAGTGCAGTTCATGGTGAAATGTAGGTTAAAGGTCCACTAATCAATTCTTGGTTTTAATATATCGGTCTACTACACTGTGCTAGTCTAGGAGATTGTTCATGACGGAAATTACCAGACTAACCCTTCAAAAATCACCACTTTATAATCTCGCTACCAACTTCAGCGGGTCAGTTTACTGTTTACCACTATACAGAACTGTTAAAATACATGTATGTACCCTAATGTACTATTGTTGCAATCTTGAAAACATTGTGTTATAGTTTTGTCCTAAATTTGTCGAAAATGACTCATAATCATTTATAAGAAGAAAGAATCAATTTCATTTATTTTTTGTAATTTTCTTCCAACTTTTAGATGGGATAGTGAAACCATTACTTTACACATGCTTTCAAAAGTCTGCGGTCACTTCTAACACTGATAAACAACAAATGCAATGGCAGAATTAGGTCATTGATGATACCCATAATTAAATACAAAATACTGTTAGCAAACTATAAAAGTTTTTCAAATATTACCAAGAGACCTTTATGCAATAACATAAAAATGCCAATACTGAACAAACTTACTTATGCAGAATCCTGGCCATCACAACCTTTTCTTCATTGTTTGCAAAATTCTGGCCAATGCAATTTCTACAATGAAATAAGTTTTTTATAATCTGTTGATGTACTAATGGTATTTTTCTGGCATGGTTGAGAACATGGAAAAGGCTTAATAGGCCTTATTAAGTCTTCTCTCCTCTAAGTGGAAATGCTGTCATACAATTTAAACTGTTTAGTTGAAAGACAACAGTGCTATAAACACTAAATTGTTTACATATATTTTTTATAAAAGGCTTACCTTGGTCCAGCGGAAAAAGGAATGTATCCAAATGGGTTGACATTCTTGAAATTTTCTGGAAGGAATCTTTCTGGTTTAAATTCCTGAAACATGTTAATAACCCATATGTCAGCATCTATATAACCTGTCACCATGCAGGCCGAATTTAAGCCACTAAATAAACCAATCACTGACTGTTATTTGTCGTTCAGTGAGAGAAAATTAGTGCTTTTTTCCTGGCATTTCTTGTGTGTTGCTGGGAATAATTTTGGTATCAACTAGCAGGCTAGGGTGTAAACTTCCGGCAATTTTTTTCAGGACCAGGCACAGGTGCTGTGCAGTCGTGAGACCTGTGGTGGAGGGGGCTACTGGCTCTGAGTGGTGCAGTGGTTTGTTTACAAACAGAGGGGTGCACATGTTCAAGTAATGCCGGTAAGAAATAATGTCTGATGACAGTATATTTTTGTGCCATTGGGAGTTATATCAGTGTGTCTGCTGTCCATGGGGATGGGAAATGTTTGACCCAGTAATTTTGTTCATGCAGTTTTGCAGGCATTTCTTAGTATGGCCATCAATGGGAAATTATTTCATGGTTTCTGCCCTGCATACAAAAAGGAGTGTCAATTTTAAATGTACTAGTACACATTAGTGCATGTGATTGGTATAAAAATTGCTCAGAGGATGGAAAAAGCATGAAACTTGGTACAACCACTGCTAAGCCAGGAAGTGAATTACCTTAGTAACAAGCTACATGTAATAAGACCTGCGCTTTCTTGTCCAGTTTAAATGATTTAACAATGCTGGTAATAATGCTTCAGAACTTCAGAACTATCAGTAGACTATTTTAAGCCATTAAAAAATGAAATAAGCCTCAGCAACAGTTGTTAGACAGCATATATTACCTAAGCAACAAGTGTTTAAAGTTGTATTAGTTGTACTAGAGGATCAGAGATTTGATACCACCTCGGGTATTGTACCAAAAGCTGGAGTTAGTGCATTAGTATGGAAAACAAAAAAAGGGCCACCACCTCCAGTGTTGTGCTTGACAAGCTCTACAAAATGCAGTAAACAAGAGTTCTCAATATTTTTGTTGAAAATTTCCATTTAAAACAAAATCATGGAGAAAAGTTAAAGTTTAAATCCAAATTCGTGAAGTGCAGTTAATAGCAAATAGTGGGACAAAGGTCAATTTTAAGCTCACAATAAGATTGCCAGTATATGACTTTTTGTTCAAGTTCAATGGTACTGTAACTATGGGAATATCCCTGCCAGTTTTAGAGATATAAGGGAAAGAAAAGTTGCAAAATTCAGTTCATGGTGAAAAGTAGGACAAAGTTTAATTTCAAGGTCAAAGTTAGATTACCAGTATATATCTACCTATCCAAGTTCAATGGTACCTGTGTGCGTATCTCTGCCAGTTTTGGAGATATAAGGGACAGAAACCTTGCAAAGTTAGATCACAGTTTGATTGTCAGTGTATGACTTCCTATTCAAGTTCAATAGTAATTATGGCCTATCACTGCCAGTTTTGGAGATATAAGGGACTAAAATGTTGGGAAAGGCAGCTGTAGGCAGGACAGAGCTGTGACTTACGAGACATCTAACTTCCAAATATGAAACTACCCCAGACAAAATTTTGCCAAACATGCCCCCAGTATGCCGGTAGTTGCTAGAGTCAGTATTGTTGATGTGGTTTATATCTGAAATCAAGATCGAGGTGGCAATACTTAAATCTAGAACCTAGGGTTGAGTTTCAGTAATGTATCATGAATTTCGTACAGAAGAAATAGATTGAAATATAGGAAAGATAATTCTGATTGAAATTCATGATATGGGTTGTGCTCAGAAATTCTGGATGTTCGCATTTCATGAAATTCTGTCATTTTTGACAGGAAGTTGTCTGTCCCTCACTAAGCCTTATGTTATATTTTCCTGACGTTTCAAAATTTAATGACAAATTCCTTTGTTTTGGGAGATATTTTAGACAAGGGTGCATTGCAACGAGCGCCACACCTAGACCCCAGCACCGACAAAGCCCAAAATTTACGTGGATGGAGTCGAGATTATATGTGACCTAAATCCAAGAGATGGGTACACAGGCTCTTGTAGTCTAGGAGTAACAGTAACTGGGCAGCAGATGGATTCGGCAGACAAGACGGGTCAGGACTAAAACCATGTGTATACCGCTAGTGCCTACGCTGCTATTACATAATAACAGAAATCCAAATCTATGTCTCTTTACCCTTAATAGAAATAATTCTACTGGTATACAAATTACTCAACATAAAAGGTAATTCAACATCTTACCATGACATCATCTCCCCAGACATGGCTGCTGTGGTGCAAAATCCAAATAGGCAGTTGGACATTGGTCCCTGCAGTTACCTTCTTCCCCATTATTTCAATATCTTTTTCTAGTTTCCTAGAAATCCCGGCAACTGGAGGATAATGGCGCATTGCCTCTTTGAGACAAAGACCCAAGTACTTCAACTTTGGCAGGTCTTCCCTGGAAAAAAGTCAGTAACTGGAAATTTTCTTATATACACTCTACTTTTAAAATTTAAGGTAAATATGGAGTTGAAAAATATGGCCTTACTCAAGACTAATTGCAAAAAATTGTTTGTTTTTAAAGGGATAACCAGTGTTAAAAATTAAGGCTGGACCGTCTGCCCGGGGCTGACAACTTTCAGAACGGGCTGAGAAGTTATCCCACCCAGCAGACATTTAGTCCAGCTACTTTTCAAGATGGCTGGACTTTCGGTCCAGCAACTAATTTTCCTAAGAGGCAAACACTGGGGATAACTGTTCATTTTGGCCAAAAAATGGACTTTTCTGTGATAAAGGACAATTTTCCCATACTTACCAATGGATAATGAATCTATTCCAACATTCAAAGTTAGTCCCTGTCTTTTTTATCTAAAAAGTTTGATTTTTTGCAATATTCTCTTAAGAGATTATTACTGAGTGTAGCCATCAGCTATTGAGGTCACGTGATGTATTGGCAAGCACAAATTCCAGAACAATTGTGTCAACTGCCATTTTGGTGGTAAAATGGATTTGTAATATTTCTGTGAGTTGTTTATAATGTATTTATTGTGAAATATGAATATCATATGAACAGTTGTCATCCCTAGAGGCTGTATATCTAATTTCAAAAATCAAGAAAAATGAAAGTCTTGGAATATGTTTTATGGCAGTTTTTTTCCAATATGGTCATCATTATAAAAATTTTTCATATAAAAGTTGTGTGCTTTATTTTTGACTATTTTCTGTTGAAGTTAATGGAGGCAGAATCTTGATGTCCTCAGTTGTTGCCCAAGGGGCCATTCCCAGTTGTAGACTGAGGACATAGTGAATAGAAGTGACTGGTACGTTTCCCTTCAAGATAATATCTTGATTTTTTCATTGTGTTTACCTCATTTAAGACAGCCATCAAGGTGACGAACTTTTCAAAATTATACAGAGGTCCACTTAAAAGTTCAATGAAATTTTAAAGGTTAAAAAATTTATGTTGGCGGAAAATAGTCTTCTGACAAAATTTTCAAGACTGACGAAATTTTCACATTTTTACCTATAGCATACTGTGGCCATCTTGTTTTTTTCAAAAAGTCCAAGGAAACACGTTTGCTACCTGACATATATGCATAAAATGGGTAACAAGGATGTGGAAAACACTGAGAAAATACTTTGTGATAAAAATCAATATAGGTATTATAATTTCTATAGAATTCTATAAACAGGTGGCCATTTGGGTTTTTGGACCAAATGATAAAATTTTTTGAAGGGCTACAGCTCTTATTCGATTTAGAATGTCAAAAAGTAACCACATGCCAAATTTGGTGCTTTTATCCACCGTGTCACGATTCGGTCATTTTTTTTTACCCTAAGCCACCCCACTTTCAGGCTTATACATACTATATATTTTTCACACCTCACAAGAATATATTTAATTAATTATACATTTGTGAATTAAGTTGACTTTACTGCCAACTTTCCAACTCAAACATAATAAAAATAGGTCACATGAGATACTGACCTAATTCTACCATGTTTACTTTCCCAACAATCATAATTAATGGAATATCTATGTATTTTTAAGATAATTATGTAAGGTGTTACTATCTCGGCCTGTTATGTGAAAACTTTTTGCACTTGTGCCATTTGAATGTGTCAGCTGTCATTATTTGGTGTTAAGTTTGCTCAGAACTACAGCTGCATTCAGATGTAATAGTAAAATGGCAGTAGTTGAGACTGATGTTTCAGATAGTGAAGGTAACAGCAATGGCAACACGGCGATCAGAAATTATATAAAATATTATCCATTATGTCTGTATATAAAAATTGAATAAACATGCAAAGGGATAATAAAGGGATAATAACTCTTCGTTTTGGCCAAAAAATGAATTTTCCTGGAGTAAACAACAATTTTCCTATNTTCAGGACCAGGCACAGGTGCTGTGCAGTCGTGAGACCTGTGGTGGAGGGGGCTACTGGCTCTGAGTGGTGCAGTGGTTTGTTTACAAACAGAGGGGTGCACACGTTCAAGTAATGCCGGTAAGAAATAATGTCTGATGACAGTATATTTTTGTGCCATTGGGAGTTATATCAGTGTGTCTGCTGTCCATGGGGATGGGAAATGTTTGACCCAGTAATTTTGTTCATGCAGTTTTGCAGGCATTTCTTAGTATGGTCGTCAATGGGAAATTATTTCATGGTTTCTGCCCTGCAGACAAAAAGGAGTGTCAATTTTAAATGTACTAGTACACATTAGTGCATGTGATTGGTATAAAAATTGCTCAGAGGATGGAAAAAGCATGAAACTTGGTACAACCATTGCTAAGCCGGGAAGTGAATTACCTTAGTAACAAGCTACATGTAATAAGACCTGTGCTTTCTTGTCCAGTTTAAATGATTTAACAATGTTGGTAATAATGCTTCAGAACATCAGAACTATCAGCAGACTATTTTAAGCCATTAAAAAATGAAATAAGCCTCATCAACACTTGTTAGACAGCATATTACCTTAGCAACAAGTGTTTAAAGTTGTATTAGTTGTACTAGAGGATCAGAGAGGCGACACCACCTCTGGGTATTATACCAAAGGCTGGAGTAAGTGCATTAGTATGGAAAACGAAAAAAGGGACACCACCTCCAGTGTTGTGCTTGACAAGCTCTACAAAATGCAGTAAACAAGAGTTCTCAATATTTTTGTTGAAAATTTCCATTTAAAACAAAATCATGGAGAAAAGTTAAAGTTTAAATCCAAATTCGTGAAGTGCAGTTAATAGCAAATAGTGGGTCAAAGGTCAATTTTAAGCTCACAATAAGATTGCCAGTATATGACTTTTTGTTCAAGGAGCTGTGACTTACGAGACATCTAACTTCCAAATATGGAACTACCCCAGACAAAATTTTTCCAAACATGCCCCCAGTATGCCGGTAGTGGCTAGAGTCAGTACTGCTGATGTGGTTTATATCTGAAATTAGGATTGAGGTGGCAATACTTAAATCTAGAACCTAGGGTAGAGTTACAGTAATGTATCATGAATTTCGTACAGAAGAAATAGATTGAAATATAGGAAAGATAATTCTGGTCGAAATTCATGATATGGGAGGTGCCCAGAAATTCTGGATGTTCGCATTTCATGAAATTCTGTCATTTTTGACAGGAAGTTGTCTGTCCCTCACTAAGCCTTATGTTATATTTTCCTGACGTTTCAAAATTTCATGGCAAATTCCTTTGTTTTGGGAGATATTTTAGACAAGGGTGCATTGCAACGAACGCCACACCTAGACCCCAGCACCGACAAAGCCCAAAATTTACGTGGATGGAGTCGAGATTATATGTGACCTAAATCCAAGAGATGGGTACACAGGCTCTTGTAGTCTAGGAGTAGCAGTAACAGTAACTGGGCGGCAGATGGATTCGGCAGACAAGACGGGTCAGGACTAAAACCATGTGTATACCGCTAGTGCCTACGCTGCTATTACATAATAACAGAAATCCAAATCTATGTCTCTTTACCCTTAATAGAAATAATTCTACTGGTATACAAATTACTCAACATAAAAGTTAATTCAACATCTTACCATGACATCATCTCCCCAGACGTGGCTGCTGTGGTGCAAAATCCAAATAGGCAGTTGGACATTGGTCCCTGCAGTTACCTTCTTCCCCATTATTTCAATATCTTTTTCTAGTTTCCTAGAAATCCCGGCAACTGGAGGATAATGGCGCATTGCCTCTTTGAGACAAAGACCCAAGTACTTCAACTTTGGCAGGTCTTCCCTGGAAAAAAGTCAGTAACTGGAAATTTTCTTATAAACACTCTACTTTTAAAATTTAAGGTAAATATGGAGTTGAAAAATATGGCCTTACTCAAGACTAATTGCAAAAAATTGTTTGTTTTTAAAGGGATAACTGTTCATTTTGGCCAAAAAAATGGACTTTTCTGTGATAAAGGACAATTTTCCCATACTTACGAATGGATAATGAATCCATTCCAACATCCAAAGTTAGTCCCTGTCTTTTTTTTCTAAAAAGTTTGATTTTTTGTAATATTCTCTTAAGAGATTACTACTGAGTGTAGCCATCAGCTGTTGAGGTCACGTGGTGTATTGGCAAGCACAAATTCCAGAACAATTGTGTCAACTGCCATTTTGGTGGTAAAATGGATTTGTAATATTTCTGTGAGTTGTTTATAATGTATTTATTGTGAAATATGAATATCATATGAACAGTTGTCATCCCTATAAGCTGTATATCTAATTTCAACAATTCAAAAATCAAGCAAAATGAAAGTCTTGGAATATGTTTTATGGCAGTTTTTTTCCAATATGGTCATCATTATAAAAATTTTTCATATAAAAGTTGTGTACTTTATTTTTGACTATTTTCTGTTAAGTTTTCTTTTCTGTGAAGTTAATGGAGGCAGAATCTTGATGTCCTCAGTTGTTGCCTAAGGGGCCATTCCCAGTTGTAGACTGAGGACATCGTGAATAGAAGTGACTGGTACATTTCCCTTCAAGATAATATCTTGATTTTTTCATTGTGTCTACCTCATTTAAGACAGCCATCAAGGTGACGAACTTTTCAAAATTATACAGAGGTCCACTTTAAAGTTCAATGAAATTTTAAAGGTTAAAAAATTTATGTTGGCGGAAAATAGTCTTCTGACAAAATTTTCAAGACTGACGAAATTTTCACATTTTTACCTATAGCATACTGTGGCCATCTTGTTTTTTTCAAAAAGTCCAAGGAAACACGTTTGCTACCTGACATATATGCATAAAATGGGTAACAAGGATGTGGAAAACACTGAGAAAATACTTTGTGATAAAAATCAATATAGGCATTATATATTTCTATAGAATTCTATAAACAGGTGGCCATTTGGGTTTTTGGACCAAATGATAAAATTTTTTGGAGGGCTACAGCTCTTATTTGATTTAGAATGTCAAAAAGTAACCACATGCCAAATTTGGTGCTTTTATCCACCGTGTCACGATTCGGCCATTTTTTTTAACCCTAAGCCACCCCACTATCAGGCTTATACATACTATATATTTTTCACACCTCACAAGAATATATTTAATTAATTATACATTTGTGAATTAAGTTGACTTTACTGCCAACTTTCCAACTCAAACATAATAAAAATAGGTCACATGAGATACTGACCTAATTCTACCATGTTTACTTTCCCAACAATCGTAATTAATGGAATATCTATGTATTTTTAAGATAATTATGTAAGGTGTTACTATCTCGGCCTGTTATGTGAAAACTTTTTGCACTTGTGCCATTTGAATGTGTCAGCTGTCATTATTTGGTGTTAAGTTTGCTCAGAACTACAGCTGCATTCAGATGTAATAGTAAAATGGCAGTAGTTGAGACTGATGTTTCAGATAGTGAAGGTAACAGCAATGGCAACACGGCGATCAGAAAATATATAAAATATTATCCATTATGTCTGTATATAAAAATTGAATAAACATGCAAAGGGATAATAAAGGGATAATAACTCTTCGTTTTGGCCAAAAAATGAATTTTCCTGGAGTAAACAACACTTTTCCTAAATTAGCAATGGTTAATGAATCCATTTTTACATTCAAAGTTAGTCTCTGGTTTTTTTCTAAAAAGTTTGGTTTTTTGTTAAAATCTCTTAAGAGATTATAACAGCGTAAAGTCATCAATGGAGGTCACATGGTCTGAAGACAAGGTCAGATATCAGAATAATAGCTATAACTGCTGTTTTTGTCGTAAAACAGAATATATTATATTTCTGTGAGTTATTCACAATGTTTTTATTGTGAAATATAGACCTCATGCGAAGAGTTATTATCCCTTTAAAGGTAATTCTCACCCTGACTGAAAATAGGACACTTTAGCCTAACAGCTTCATCAATGGCTTATTTAATAAACATTAGACAGATACATTCTAATTTTAAAAAATGGACAAGTGCTGAGAAATTTGATTTCTCTCCCTGTGAAATCAAAAGTTACTTTGAATGAGTTTACTAAAATTACTAATCAAAAACTAACAAACACACCACTGGATTTCATCCCTGCCTTGCATGACTTCATCAATTTCTTCCTGGCATTTCTGTTGGTGCTCTGGATGATTGGCCAAGAGGTAAATTGTCCAGGATAATCCACTGGCTGTTGTGTCATGACCTAAATTTTAATTTTAAAAAACATCAATTTAAATTGTTACTAACAGCTGTACAGTAATAGAAAAATTCATAATTTAAAATAGATATTGCTGTTTACTACACTTACACCTGATTTTTCTACACTGTATACAATATGTAGTGATGAAGAACTATTTCCAATGGAGTGAATTACTATTTATAATAATAATAATAATAATATTTGAGTCTAAAATTCAAATTTGTTCAGTAAACTTTATAATACATGAAAAAACAATAAAAAGGCTAGTAAAACAAGGCAGCAAAGCTGTCAAATGTACAGACAAAAAACAGAAAATAAAGATGCAGAAAATAGGTAATTTTGTCAATTTTGATGCAAGAATAAATAATGCTTATAAAAGCACACTAAATCAACACTGAATTTTAATCATGCACAACAGGTAGCATGGTCAATAATAGGAGCGTATCCTATCAGTATTTCTGACAGTATTCCAAGTTATATTTGTTGGTCCATCCTCCATTTTTGATGGTTTTTCAACAGAAAAAAATAGATACCCATCTTCTGGAAGACCCAGAAGACAGTATCAATCCATCCCTGCAATAAGATTAGAGTTTCAGGACCATGAGGGTTCAAATTCACATAATGAAAATCCCAATATTATGTGAAAAAGATGACAGTGAAAAAAAAAAGATATTACATAATGTTTAAAGACATAAAAACCAATACAATTGCTCATGGGGAAATGCAAAAAATGCACAGAGCTTCTGGTGGAGTTAAAAGTCACATCTTGAAGATGCTAGTGTTTGAAAAATAATTTAAAAAATTAAATAAAACATAACAAAAATTCCAATAAAGCTGCTATTCAAACTTTTAATCTAGCTGTATTAACATGATATGAATAACCCCATTGGGTTTGAAAATAATAAGGCACTGATATTCATCTATAGCATTAATGTTGGCGTTACACAAAATTTTTTCTTTGTAAACCTATTTGCAAAATTAAAAAACATTTACCTGCATAATTATCACTGATTCCTAATTATGTGACACAGTTAAGAGAGCTAAACCTATGGGACTTTATGAGGAAATCTCAAAGTGCTTTAAGTAATCTCATTTAATGGGCACTTGAAAGTTAATAAGGCAAGTGACTTAATAGCCCTGAATTTAGCTAGTGATTAACCAAAGGACAATTACATACTGACCACCATCAATATACAGTAGCACCATATAGCACTCTATAGAACTGAATTGCTTCCAAAACAGAAAACAATCACACCATTTTTCCAACACAAGCTGCACTTCAGTCCTATGAAACTTTTCAGTAAGGCCACACTTTTTTTATTTTTATGGATGACATCTTGCGTGCCCACCGATTTTCATCCGTTCTCTGGAAAAAACCCACCCCCAACGAAGTCGGTTGTCGCAAATGTTGTTATTGAATTTGCCGGAAAATAAGCTTTCTGCGCATTCTGCGTGATATCACCATGTGGAAATTCGGCGGCTTTGCCGTCAAATTCATCTCTAGGATTACTGTCAAATTACACGACAATTAAAGTCATAAAGAGGATGGTGGCCGTCTTTTTGGATTGGTATGCCATTGATATTGGGCATGGAGATATCACCTTTTTACAATTATACGTAAGCCTTTCGGCGGCCAGCAATTATCGCCCGGAAAATTTCAGTGACATTCTGTCCAAAGCAGCACATACCAGGTTTTTTGTAGTGGAAACGGGGTCGACAAGGGCATCGAAGTATTTGGTGGGCTGAGGGTCTGACAGGCCACCCGGCATCGACCGAAATGACCTTTTATAGATTTCGGCGGCCAGCAATTAACCAGTAAGTGTGTGGAGCAGCACTGTCATGAGCCTTCCCAAAACTTTCATTTACTGGCACAGATGGTAATTCAGCATTTACTGAGAACTACAGGTATTCCATTTCTTAATTACTCATTACATTTTCTGACATAATATGTACCTAGTACTGGTAGATGTTTCAGACACGGTATTTGGCAAAACATTGCATTTAACAGATTTTAACTTATCTGTGACATGGTTTTTCCTGTACAATAAAGGGAACTGGAGGAGACAGGATTGTGTCCAAAAAATTCCACATGACAAGGATTTACAGCCTCGCGGAAATTATTTTCCCTTGAAGCTATTTGTCACGCTGTCGATCCATGCAGCATATATTTTTCAAAAAAAATTGACTACAAATTAAGCAAGATCTTGCACCTTCAAGTTTCTTAACACGTATTCAAATCATGTACCTAGCTATTATTTGTCGTTGGAAAAACTGCTTTTTTCTCTGAGCCAATGTCTTCACTACTATTCACCTCCAGCTTAAAATGACCACTCAGGTTCACATCTTTCACAACTTGACGTCAAATAATGTCAAACTTCCGGCACAATCCTGTCTCCTCCGGTACCCTCTATTGGCCATCTACATTGACAATGTGTTCATACTACTGAGCCCACTACCTTTTGTTTCAAACACTGTTTGGTTTCAACTGCAATCTAGCTGCTTGCCCTATTTGTAAGGGTGGTAATAATTTTCAATAAGAGACTTCTCATGTATCTCCCAATATTTGCATGACACAGGACCTTGATGCAAAATACAGTGCCACTTTATTGAAAACAAGGTCAGATCCAATCAAGACCATCCTTCTGTTTGACGGTACAGTCATTAAAAACTCACATGTAAGTATTACATTAAATTTAAGATGGAATAAGACATCAAACCTAAGTGCAGGAATGGGTCAAGAAATTATTTAATTGAGTAGGTAAAAAGTGTTCTTTACCCCAGAAAAATTCATTTTGGCAGGAAAATTCCATGGAGAGCAACATTTAGATGGTTAATTAAATTAAGGGACTACCTTCAAATAGGAATGTATCCACTTCAGCCCGGATGTCTTCATCTGATAATCCATTACCATCAGAATCCTAAATATGTAAAATAAAAAATATATAAAACAAGGCACAAAAATGTTAAATATACAGTTAGCAGACACAATAAGAAAATGTTAACAGTCACACATTTAAAACACCCTCAAGAATAAAAAGAAAATTTCAAAAACTGCATAATTTCAAGAAGAAGAATCTAATCAGGTTTAGTTTTCCACCTAAAACTATATTTTAGTCCTACTAAATAGGGGCCGTAGCGATAGTCCGAAGGTTCAATAGTCCGAAGGTTCATTGGTCCGAAAGATCACTATAGAACCTTCGGTCCAATGAACCCTTGATTAAAAAAATCGATGAAAATGTTACCACTTTTCGGACCAATGAACCTTCGGACCAATGAACCTTCAGACTATCGAGACGCCCTCACTAAATATTGTGAGAATAGGTACATGTAAGTAACACAGTTTCTTCTCCCATGCTGTTTATAGTAGGAGTGCAGGAATGCAGTTTTTGTCTATTTTGATGCAATATTAAAAGCACACAATTACTACCAATTTATAATTAATATGCAAAACTGTTAATGCAGACTTTCTGAAACAAAAAAAAAGGCTTTTGTCAATTTTGAGGCAATGTTAAAAACATATAATTACTACTAAATTTTAATAAATTTGTAAAACTGTTTGTGTGGACTTTCTGAGACTGTCACTGGCAGAGGGCTTTAGGCCTAGGAGTTGAATGTTACACCTTCAAGTTGATAATATCAATGCATGAAAATTGAAAAATTCACACAAAGACCAAACACATACATGTACATGTGCACATATTAATTTTAATTAAAAATTATGTAAGTTATAAAACCTAGCAAGATATAATAAACGGAAAATTCCAAAAATATATTGAAAAATATGTGATGAAAATTCTGTACAAACATGACATGTACTCTAGTCCAGATAGTAAGGCCAGCTTTAATGAAGAGAGCTCACTTGAAACTATAATTACAACGCTTACAAGCTGCATATATTTCATTTCATTCAACTTTGTAATCTTCTGAACATTTTAATAGATTTCAGATTTTGACTTTGAAAATAATACATATTATCATAAAACAACAGTTACAAAGTTTTCAATCTGACCTTGAAGCATAAGTTTAAGGTCAGATGTGAATTTTTTGACATGGCTTTCCATTCAACTTTAGTGGTAACTATGAATCTTTCTGTTATGGTTTTACTGTAATCTAGCTTTAAAACCTGATAAAATGTTAGCAAGGATTTAAATGGCATAATGCTTGCTGAATTAAGACTGTTTTAGGAAGTGAAAAATGCATCATTTTCACATGGAAAGAAATAATGCTTTAGATAAATTAATATTTACTAGCCTAATGGGTCCTTTAGGGATTTGGCAAGCAACAATGCATACCACTCTAGAAGAGACCTATAGAAAGATGCCATTTCCCTGACAATGACACAGTTTGGTCAGTGCAAACATATAAGAACATTGTCTGAAAGTGTGATTTCTGAGTGGGGCAATAAATACCCCATTCCTATACTTAGATCGGTCTACCAGGATTAACCCATCTTCGAGGGGATTTTCGTTAAACTGCTAAAGTGGCTTAGATGTCTGGCATGCCTACTGAAGCTGCTAAACACTGAAGCTGCTAAACAATAGTTAATTACCCCCAAAAAAGCTTTAGCCAGACATCAGAGCCACTTATGCTGAACCAAGATAAAGAGCAGCAAAACTTGGTAGTCCAGAAGCATGGTTAAACCACTTCTACCATTTGTGTGGGATCCTTCCTGAAGGTGACCAGCACTTAGATAAAGAAATTAAAACTTATGAAAGCCTCTGGGGGAAGCAGTGCTTGACATACCTGAACATTTGAAAAACGCGGATCAAATGGTTTTCTACATAATGTGTCATCTGTATTGCATGAGTATAATAAAATAAAGTAAAACTTCATGAAAAATAATTCCATCAGGCTGGTTTTCTGTCTTGACCAGTATTTTATTAATATTCATGAGATCTGCAGGTTTGAAGACAGAAGGTCAAATGGTTTTCTGCTAATCTCTGAAGGTGCACAGTGACGATAGACAAAGGTGATGCCTATATGTACAGAAAGATTGTGTCTGTACATAAAAAAGAAAATTAGAATAAAAACTAAAAACTATGATGACATTTATATTCAATGACTTAAAAACACTTAATTTTACAAACATAAAGCCAATCAATTATCCTAACATAAGTATTCTCAAAATTGATACATGTGGCATAAACTGGCATAAAAACACTGAAAACTGCTTAATTTGCATTACAAGCTACAACAAATAAAATTTGATGGTCTGAATTTGAAAGACAAACCTTGGCAGTCAATAAAATATCCAAGAAATCCAAGCGTTTTTTATTAAGGAAAAGGCCACCACTGGCTTCCTAAAATAAAGTAGCATCTGGTGATAGCCTTAAATCACTTGTTGACACAAAAATAAACACTGTGGAATTTTGTACTAATAAATAAAAACATACAAGTACATTAAATGGGTGCAAGTGTTGAGATGCTTCAGTAACTGATTACTACTTAAATTCTCTATCACTGTTTTTTTCCTTTCTTTTTATTTTTCAATCAATAACAGAAGGATTATCCTTGTACTGACCTTAATTTAGTCAATGATTATTTAGAATTATGCCTATTATGATCTTACTAATTCTTTTTTTCTTTTTGCAATGACATGGTTTGCCTCCCTATGAACAATGTCACAGCTCTCTTGAAACCGCCTTCCTCTAGATGTAAGCATGTATAGCTTGGGATACAGGATAAACAGAGGATTTGTACTAAAAGTAATAAATAAAAAATATAAATAAAACCTGGTGTATGTTTTTCCATATTAAATAAGAATGGGGAGAGAGAATGCTGAAAATCCCTTCCCTAAAATTTCTTCCTTTTCATAAAAATAAACAAGGCAGCAAATGTCAATTGAATTGTACTGACGGAAAGCAGAAAATAATGTTACAGTAATCTTTTCAATGGGCAAAAATTATCAAACAATCAGATACCTAATTAATAATCATAAAAATATTATTTCTATATAGCATATTTTATGTGCTTTTGCTGAGTTGGAAAAAAGCTATAGAGAAGCCTGCTGTTTTATTTTGTTGCTGCCATTCATCAGGAATGTTCTCAATCTTAATTTAAAAATACAGCACATGTATCTGTAAAATTCACAATTTCCCCCATTGAAGAGATCAAGTTATCACCATAACAATACAATAAATAAATCATTTTGTAAATTTGATGCATTATTACATAATGCGTAACAGCAAAACCAACAAAATTTTAATTATACAAAGCAGGTAATATGGATATTAAGAATATTAAGTAATCAGCATATGGCTTCAGGCCCATGAGAGTTAAAATCCATACACTGAAAAAGCCAGAATGACAAAAATGAAAATTTCACAAAACATACATATTTTCAAGAAAAATAATCCAACCGAGTTGGGTTTTTAATCTAAGCTGCATGTCACTCATAGGAATCAGTTTTTAATAATTTTCTATAGATTATCTTCAATTTTCCATAGGTTATATGAGCATTCAGAAAATGTGTATAGCAGTGGGATTTAGTCCCATGGGGTTTTAAAGTCGCACATTCAAAATGCTAACATGTGAAAGATTAACACTTCACATAAAAATAAAATAATTATAATAATAAACTGTATAACTTTGGGAACAATAATCTAATTTGGGTGTTTACTCCAACTAAAGCTACATTTCAATCCCAAGAATCATTCTTGAAGTTTGACAATAGTGAGATAGTATTCCTTTCAGACTGCTTACAGTGGCAGAAATAAATAAAGGGAAATTGTGAACTGTCGTCCATTTCAATCTCAGGTGATGTTAGCAAATGTTGTACACAGCAAGAGACCATTCCCACATTCCCCCTGGGGAGTCTCACTAGATTGCTGTCAGCTTAGCCGGCTTAAATGTCTGTCCCGCCTACTAAAAGCTGTAAGGGGGTAATTAACTTTTGTGCGCGCTCTGCTCCAGAGAGCTGACAGCAATTTAGTGTGAACCCCCAGGGAATTAGGTTGATCCAGATGGACCGATCTAAATCTGTGGGAACCCAGTCTAAGATTTAAAAAGGGAGATAAAACATGCTTGAAACACGTGTTTAGCATAAATTGCTGCTTATCTTAGGTGACACTTTGGGTGCCATATATATATATGCAAATAAAAAGCAAAACCAGCACAGTCATTGGAAAAATGTCTAAAGCAACCTTATTTTCGAAAATGACCTGTATTTTATAAATATTCGCCAGATCTGTAAAATTACAGACAATTACAGACAAAAGGTTGCACCATGATGACGGCAAGGACGGATGAAGGTAGGGTCTGTGTAGGTATAGACATCAAAAGAGGAAATCTGCCAAGAGGAAGATCCCTATCCCTGACAAAGGGGAAGAGTGTACTCTGCTTTTGACAGAAAGTATGAATCAATGTATTTCTCTCTCTTGGTGTTCACTAATTTTTCATATTATAATATCTAAAATAAAGCAATTCCTATCTAACCGAAAATGTAGTTTGTTATAAATCAAATCATCATGCACAACTGACAGGGCCAGATTGGATGCTGTCTTCTGGGCCTTTTGGAAGAGTGCGATAGTGTTACAAATATTCGTGGGATTTGGCTGGAATCATGAGATTTTGCCAATTTTCTGGTCTAATTAGACACGCTCTACGATTCAGTTATGATACAGGTGCGATAGTGTTACAAATATTGGGATTCGGCTGGAATTGCACGAATATTGTCCAGAAATTCACTACGATTTTTTGGAATCGGGAGTTTGTGGCCAAAATTTTGAACAGCTCAAAGTTTTTGCCACTAATTCCTGTTGGTCAAGAAGTGCAAGAACTGACTACGAATATATACGAATCTGTTAAGAACTTCACAAACTGATTACAATTCAACCAGGAATCCTGAAATTTGTCAATTCATGGCCATTCGTGGGATTCTTGGTCTATGTGAAATAGGGGCATTACAAACATATACATTTTTCTACAGTCACATGAAACAATAATACACTTACAATCTTCTTGGCACATCATGACACATATCGAACACAGCTTGAATGTATGGATGCCTTTTCCTAGAAGAGATATTAAAAGCATGACCTTAGTCATTGTACATCAACACATCACATGAACTTTAAGCCAAACAAGTGGTTAAAAATATACCAGTAATTAAAAATCAGTTCAAAACTTCAATTCAAAAGTTGTGAACTGTTGAAGTCATTAAACTTTTTAAATAATACACACACACACACATCTCAAAAATTTGCTGCAATTTTTTCATTTGAAAGCTCCCTTTTCCTATATGTAGATCTGGATGGTTTATTACCATCAGGTCTTGCAGCAGCACTTGCAACTTCACCTGACTCAGCTTGGGCAACCTCTGGATTCAGAACATGCATAATTGATATGGCGTCAGGTAATTACTGTTTCCATACTCTTTCATCTTCTTTCCCCATATTTCTCAGCAACTAATACTTCAAATCTCAAATTCATATGGCTCCACTAAGTCTTTCCTTGTTGTTTTCGCTTTTGCTGATTTCAGAAATGAATGAAATGACACGTTGTCTGCAGAACTGCTTGTGAATCGGTATGCTGCACAGAAGTACCCTGTTTCCTTTCGGACTCCTCCTTTTTAGTGAAAACACAGGAAAACCTGTTGCACACAAATGTACTCACATTCTGTAAAAGCTAGGTTGGACAGAGAGCATGGTCACGGGACAACCTTTCCTATATATGTCATTTCCACTTTCGCCTTGTATTCGAGGCCCAACGTATTTGTATTTGAAGTTGGGATAAGCATATAATGCTGTGGTTGGGCCAATGTAATACTGCCATTCCCAACTATATGCTAACAAGCCAACCATTCACCAACATTGGCCCAAAGTGTGCAAGCTATCTGGGATACTACAAGCTTTGCTTCCAGTTACACCCCCATTGTTTGCCATCCTCCCCTTTCTATTGTCCAGAAGAGGGGTGGATGGCGAAACTCTGCGAGGGGGCAGCACACTACCTAGGCTGTGGCTGCACGACTGTGCAGGGACTTTCTATTTTGGGCTGTATAGCCATTTCTAAGCTCTCATCTTACCCAGTCGACTGCACATTGGCATCAAAAGAGAAGGCACACTTCAAAATGATATCCAAAGTCAACAAACTGATATGATGAAAGACATCCAAAGGTTCATTTCTCTCTGCCATTCCAGAAAGCTTGGTCTGCAACAACAAAAATTTATAAGAAGAGTGGTGATCAAAGAAACTATGCTTGTAATCAAATTCTTTGTGAAAAAATACATGTATATACTTTTTATGACCAAAAAAAAAAAAAAAAAAAAAAAAAAAAAAAATGCCACACAGAAATGCCACAAAAAATGGGCCAATACGTGAGAGAAAAAAAAAAGAGCCTCACCAGGAACATATCCGATGCCTCATTGTAAATAACCATGTATGTTCTGAGGATGTCAAAATGGAATGCAGGGGTGAGAAGCCGCCTTTGTCTCATCCATTTTTTCCCCTTGGCAAGAAGCAAGCCATCACCTATTAAAATGCAACAAAAATATGTTACTTCCAATTTTTCTATTTCATTGACATGAATACAAAAGAGGACCAGGTTTTGTACCACCAATACAATTAAGTGTACTCAAGTTCAATAGTAATGAATAACTATAGGGGTGAATCTCTTCTGGATTAGGAAATGTGAAGGCTAGAAAATTTGAAAAATCCATGGTATAGTGGAAAGTAGATAAAAGGTCTAATTCGGCTTCATGAGCCTAACCCCTTTCATCTGGCCTATAAACTTGGAAATACTTAGACTGCGCTCCCATCCCTAGATTGATCCATTCTCTAACACCAGTTGACTGTTAAACCTGAGGCTTAAAGTGTGATTGAGCATGATTTATAATAAAATGTATCTTTAAAAATATTAATTTGTCCTCGTTTCCCACCCTTTATGAGGGACAGTACTATACCCTTTATGTTCACTTACTTTTACATTACATTATATATATTAGGCTGGATTGAAATTTCACTTTTTAAAACAGCCAAGGTCAAGTAAAATCTGACTATAAGCAAGATTAAAATCTGACTAGATAAGGTTGACTTTCAATATATGGAAGAAATATGAAGTTAGTAAATATCATCATAAAAATACTAAAAATACATTTACTGTGTTTTTATCTTTTTTTGTGAAAATTAACTAGCAAAGTCAAGATTATACTAGTAGGAGCCATGTTTAATTTACCACAACCCTAGATTTCATGACTGTTTTTGATACATCCTGATAATAATCTTTTTTAATGGCGGGCATAGCATTGCAAAAGTTGTGATTTAGTGAATGAGTTTAAAGGGTTGATTAGGCTTTTTTCTATTAGATGTTGTTAAACTTATTTTGCCCTTGACTTATTCTCATACTTTGAGAGAGATAAACACCATAGTTTGTTAGAACAATACAATTTATAATTAGCTTTACATAATGTTATTGATTTGTTTGTTGGACTAATTTGGCTGAATTTCTCTCTGGCCTGTGACATACCGGTAAATACCCACTATAGCTCACAATATTAATCATAGTGTACTTGCCACTTATATATCATAATAACTAAAATTTTATATAAGCACTGATTATTTCTAATTGATGGATATAAAGTAAAATGTGTATTGAAGTATTTTGTTTGTGTAATTGTCACTGGCTTTGCATATACATGTATCTTGTATTGGTACATATTAAATAATCAAATGATAAGGTTATTACTCTAAAATAGCATACTCGATAAAATTAAAAGCTTGTTGTATACTCAACTCACAGCTTAAAATTTCTAAGTTTCCTGTACACTTGTTGCACACTCCTGATGAAAAATTTGAGTTTTCTGCACACTTCTGGCAAACTCCTGATCAAATTGTAAGTTTATTGCAAGCTTTCTGCACACATCTGTTGAAAAACCAAGTGTCTCGCACATTTTCTGCACACACATGACAGAAAAATTACATTTTCTGCACACTTGTTGCGTACTCTTGATCAAATTTTAACATTATCGCACACTCTCCGCGTGCTTCTATTGAAATACCAAGTCTCTTGCATACTTTCTGCACACTATCTGTACTTATGGAAGTGTGCAGTGGGTGTGCAACAAGAAATAATTTTTATCGCACACTTCTGCACACTCCCCAAAGCTGTCTACTGCACACTCTAGAGTGTGCCGCACATGTGCAGTACATTTGCAGCACATGTGCTGCACACTTTTCATTTTGCTAAGGGTAGCCAGTGTATGACTTCCTATTCAAGTTCAACAGCAACTTTGGATGTATCTCTGCCGGTTTTTGAGATATTAGGGATAGAAAATTTGCAAAGTGCAGTTTATCATGCTGGTGGTACAATAATGCATTTCAGCAAAAAAAAAAAAAAAAAGTTTACAGGAAAGAACATTGCATGGTTCAACTATTGGGCCTATGGGAGTGGCGACTCAACTACAATTAATAGTTGAACCAGTGTCACTAGCATGATTTTCACCAGGGTTTCCGTTTGAAAAGAAAGACTTAATTTATCACTTACCTAACCATGGTCGCAGGGTCTCATATACTCTCCCTTTGGGTTCATAACCTTTAAGGACCACTTTTGCAGTGTCAGGATGGCATAATGTCAAAGCACCGAAGAATGGCCCATTCCACTGTACAAAAAAATACTTGTTTTTCTCAGCCTTGGCCAGTCTTCCCCTCATAAAATCTTCATTCAGCACACCTTTAAACTAGAAAGGTAAAACGATGAATATCAAGGTCTTCATACATCTAACCATTCTGACTTTACCTATGTCTGCAACAAATTCTTGGCAAAAGCTCTAGGCCTACAGTCATGAGATCTCTATTAGAGGAGAAACATAAACCATTGCCATTACCAATACATGCCTGACGTGTGTGTGTGTGTGTGTGTGTGGGGGGGGGGGGGGAAAGAGCAGGTGCTGGTACATACTGTATGCCAACATTTAATGCAACAACTAACTGACCATTCTCTGACGTGTGTGTACAGTCTGATGACATAATTATAGGGCAAAACACAATGGCATGAGGTGACTTCAAGACAGTGCTATGTGCGCAAATATACAAATCAATCCCTGCTTGTCCATCAGAGACGGCTTCTCACCCTGTTCATGCTCGACGGGGAGTTAAAGGTTTATCATCAGACCGTCAGAATTAATGGCCTGAACAGAGCATATTCTTCAGCAAACATAACCAACTAATGATATCTTTATCAAAATACACAAATTAAGAAGTAATTTTGTAAATTTTGAGCTTCAAAAAACCTCTCTATTAGCTATATAGATCTGAGAATTAATGAGCTACGTGATCACGTGGTCTGGTGACGACATACGTGCTACTGGATGAGAAAGCCAGCTTGTTAAGTAAGCTGTCAGACTAAGCTACCATTATCTACCTGTAAGATCAGGGGCGGATCTAGAGCTATTTATTGACAGTCTTCCAAATTTTCTTTGTTGATTCATCCTTCAATTTTGGCAGTCTTCCAACAGAAAAAAATAGATACCCGTCAATGTAAACTTGAAAATATGAACGTCTTCTGGAAAACAATGAAGACGACCTAAATCAGCCCCAGAAGATGACTTTTCAAACTACTACTGATAATAATTCATACCCATTCATCTCTCTTACCCTAAGGGTTTATGCCCGTTATTTGCGAAATTCAATTCAATATATAATTAAACCCTAAAGCCCTACGGCTCATCAGAATGAAATGCAGTAAAAATATAAGGTCATAACAACAAAAACAATACCACTACTCTACAACTTCAACTGCTAGCACTGTAATAATAAAAACACATCAGACTGATGTTTATCTTAACTCCGTTGCACATTTTAAGTACTTTCCTAAGTTGTTTAATTTTGAAATATTTAGTGATAACTATTTAATTAGTTTGAAAACATTGCTTTGTATCTATAAAATTTTGATGTATTTCTGCCCAATCGTTCTGTAGCAAGGACATTTAAGAATAAAATGAAATTCATCCTGGATGTCATTTAAAATACATAGTTTACAGGTTCTTAATTTTCATTTGTGTCTGTTTACCTTCCAGTTTCGACAGTTAGATTATGTGATGAGTAGTAGGTGGGACACACATTTAAGCCAGATTATCTGACAGTAATCTAGTGAGACTCCCCACGGGGATAGATCAATCTAAAATCTATGGGAATACACCCTAAATTTGGCAATTAATTCCTTATATTTATGTAAAATTGGCTTTTTTAAATAGAATTCCACTGTAAAATTATTAACAAGATGTTGGTACTTTAGCCCTTTACTCCTTTTGGATATTTCCCCAGTCAATGTTTATCTAAAATTATCTTTCAATCTTTGCTCTTTCAAGGACAGTATATAATTATCTGATATATTTTCGAGAAAAATAAATGACAAGCCAAGTGTCTCCTGTCCATTCCATACTCACATTACCCAATCAAAATTGTTGTTAAGTGTGAGATAATACACTGTCACCCGAGCGATATATGCCATAACACCTCGAGCGTCAGCGAAGCTGTTAATAATAATAATAATAATCTTTATTGGAGAATCGCAACCCGAAGGTTGAAGTTATACAATTATGTTATACAATTATATATGAATATTCAAGTCAAGGAAGCCTGGTCATTTTTTCACTGGTGCACTCCGTAGACGGTCTCACCTCCCTGGGGAGCATACAGCTCGGCTGCCATATTAGGCGCTCATAGCTAATATATCATTTCTGCACTGCCTGACCAGGCCCCTGCTTTAACCCCTTAGTGCTGAGTGCCAAGCGGGGAGACAGCAGGTACCGTTTATAAAGGACTGGTATGTCCCCGGACAGGTTTTGAACCCACGTCCTCCCGCTCCGGAGGCGGACACTCTAACCACAAGGCCATCCGGTCGGTATCAATGGCATATATCGCGAGAGGGTGACAGTGTATTATCTGACATACATACCGAGAAAAAATACAGTCATTTCATCCTAAAACACCCCTAAAACCGAATAAAGTGACCCTATATCACGCTCTAGAGATGTTATATGAAATAAACTCGTCCACGTGCGCTGGTCACCTCCCACCAAATTCTTACGTAATGTCTGACCAATTTGGTCAATTTTTGCTAAATACTTGTCATGGACGTTCAACTGGCGTGAAAAGTATTAAATCAATCGTCGACACTGACCGTGCGCTTCTCAGCTGAGCCACACCTAGCTGGGCCTGCTGCAGAAGGCAAAACCTCTACTTTTAAGTGACATTTCTGATAAACAAGGAGTGTCGGACCGGAATATAGTCAAACTAATTTTTCACAAATACAAAGGAGAAAGAAATTTACTTTTTGGTGATATTTCTGACAACGAGGCAGTTTCGGAATATAGTCAAAATCAGACGGATATTTATTACAAGTTCACGGGAGTAATAATTCTAGTTTTTATTGTTATTTCTGACGACGTGGCGGTTACGGAATATAGTCAAAAACAAACGGATGTTTATTTCAAGTCCACAGGAGTAATAATTCTATGTTTTGGTGACATTTTTTACTACGAGGCGGTTTCGGAATATACATGTGCTGGTTTTCAGAGCATGGAGCATGCTACATGTAATTACAAGTTCAAAGGGGGAAATATTTGATTTTTACCGATATATCTTATAAAGAGGAAGAATAAACAGCTTAAAAACAAAAGGTAAATAACACAACCCTCGTTAAAAAGTTATAGATTTACAAATAATTTGTATGCACGTGTGGCTTAAATGTAAACTAATTCCCGTTTTCAAACCATAGGCCTACCCATATGATAAGACTTAGTGTAATAAAGTTATAAATGAATGTTAAAC